ACACCGGGCTAATACTTTAAAAAAAAATTTTTTTTCATATATTTTTATTTTATGTATATGAGTGTACTGCCTGTATGTGTGTAAGTGGACCTGTGTCGTGCAATGCCCGCGGAGATCAGAAGAGGGCGTCAGATCCCTGGAACTGGAGTTACAGACTGTTGTTAACCATTATGTCGGTCCTGGGACTCGAACCTGGGTCCTCTGCAGGAGCAGTCATTTCTCTTAACTGCTGAGACATCTCTCCGGCCCCAGAATCTTCATTCTAATTGTTCTTTTTGTCATCTTTGATCTTGCAGCTATTGGAAGACTTTGTGAAAAATGTAAGTGGAGCATGCTCTCCCCTCACCTCCTTGCACACTGTGGAGAGCCAGCAGACCGTTATCTCCAGAGGAGCCACAAAGAAGCTCTGGGAAGATTAGCCTGGAAGCATGTGGACACTGAGGAGTGCCAGGCTGAAGCCAAGGGCTCCTTTCATCTTCCCACCTAATCGTGCACATTTAAAAATACTATGTATTTAGGTTTTGAGAAAATATCTACCTTTAGACAGCACCAGTTGGCAGTGACATGACCTCCACCTGCCCCCCACTCCTATGTGTGTATAACTGTGCACACAGTTTATTGATAGCATTTATATAGACTTAAAACCTCTCAGATGCTGTTCCAAACTCTGTGCTAATGGGCATTGAGATAGATGCTGGATAAACCTTGAGGTGTCAAGATAGAGGAAGGTCCTAAAGTTACTGTCCTAAGGAGGCTAGTTATTTCCCCAGAGAACAGAGCACAGATCTTTAGGAAGTAATTGCTAGTGAACCTAACTCTTCTTTCCTTACAGGTGATGGCAAATGTGTGATCTGTGATTCCTATGTGCGTCCCTGCACGCTGGTTCGCATATGTGATGAGTGTAACTATGGATCTTACCAGGGCCGCTGTGTGATCTGTGGAGGTCCCGGAGTCTCTGATGCCTACTATTGTAAAGAGTGCACCATTCAGGAGAAGGATGTAAGTGCATGCTGAGCCTTCCAGCTGACCACAATGTTCAGCTAGTCATCTTGGTAATTTCTTCAGGCTTGGGAGTCAGACTGTGTGTGGTCTTATAAAGAGCAGTTATTCTATATCAAAGACAGAATGCGAGAGAAGCAAATCTGTCAATTCTAGCAGTTTGGAGAATGCCATCTGTTTCTTTGAATATCTCCTGTGACATGATTCTTTTAAAAAGAATTTAAGCCAGTTGGGACTACAGGGAGACCCTGTCTCAAAAAAGACAAAAAAGAAAAAAGAATTTAAGCCAAGCATGGTGGCACATGCCTTTAACCCTAGTACTTGGGAGACAGAGCTGGTGGATCTCCGAGAGATTGAGGCCAGCCTGGTCTGTATAATAGGTTCCTTGCCAGCTGGCACTACAGGTGACTGTCCAAAAAAAAACCATAAATAAATAAAATTTAAAAGAATTTAATTACATTTATTTGTGTGTTTGTGTGTGGGCATGTGCGTGCCATAGTGTGTAGGTAGAGATCAGAGGACAGCTTGCAGAAGTTGGTTCTCTCCTGCCGGTGCCAGCCGGCCTTAGATGAACAGCACCTGAAAGGGGGAGTGAGGATTGAAAGAAAAACAAGAGACAGAGAAAGATACTTGGGAGGACTGTCAGTAGAGACTGCAGGCCCGGTTTATTTTAGCTCCGCCTTCTTATACAGTAGAACGTCAGACAGCCAGTTTGCTTAGCTCAATTAGCTTCAACAGCTCTTTTTCCCACCTTTATCTGAGGGTCAAGGAATGGTCAAATACTTGTAGTGAATTCCACCAATTAGCCATCTTCCCTAAATTATCAGCACATTCCTCCTGACTTGACAGAACAATT